GTTTATGGCTCTGTTTAGTGTGCCAGTCGAGGACCAACTTTCTAGCAGCACTATGGCCATCTTGTCATTGGCTCGGCCTATTACCCTTGCTTTTTCAAAGGCGATATACCTCAAGTAGGAAGAAGGTTTTGTGCATGGTCCTGACGGGTGAGGTCACACAGGTTTATTCGCGAGGCTTGGATTTGTTCAAATGGCATCTACGTGTAGATATACGCAGCAGACCCCGTGGTCCCTTTCAGCGAAGGAAACATCATCAGATCCCATTTATCGAGGAAGCGTTACTGCTGCAAGGTTAATGCAACAATATCATCTGCCTAGACTGCTAGCCGCTAGGGTTGTTATCAGAGTTCAAGAAATGCGGCCCAAAGAATAGCGGCACAAGTGAGTTCCGTTAGCTGACGGTGAACGTTAATCAATGAGTGTCAAGCTCTCCCGATCTAAACCGTGGCTCGTGGCTCGATGGTTAGGAAGTTACATTCTGACCAGAAAGCTCCGGATTTCGGACCTGGGGTTATGCACCAATTGGATATGACGGGCTAAGGATAGCTAATATCGCAGAACTGGCCATTCTGGTCGGCCATGTCTTTCCCGACAATGTCATCTGCAATAATGTTATTTGACAAAGTATTCGATGTGCACAATCTTCTGATGTTTAAGAAAATGTGAGGCGTTCCGCTACCATTTCCGCAAAATTGTACATATTTGGAGATCTGATAATGAACATGTAGACACTGCGGCTACCTAACATAGTCTCGAAAAAAACTTTAAGTAAATGTATTTTTATGTAAATTCGAGGTAAGGCAAAGAGGCCTGATTAAAAGAATGCATGAATAAGTGCAAAATCGGGTTGATTTGACGGTACTTTAAGATAGTCAGTCACCTGAAAATCAATAAACTCAATTTCTTTTAAATTTGCGAAAATTCCCATGGAAAATGTCAGAATATAAATTGCGAACATGCCTTTGTTTTCGATAAATTCTCGTCAGGTCTTTACATTTATATGGTAATGAAAT